CACTGACTGGGACATGTTTAGGGAGGCTGCAACAAATGTTGACCGCACCAACTTAGTACACATCTGTGACCACGCATCCCTACCAGATGCGCTGAACGCACGGTTTGATGCTCAGAATGATGTGTTGCTACGTTCTACAGTTGGACTATCCAGAGCGTCCTGAGCAGCTGCATCCCTGTCTGGTGTGGTAACTGCACTGTATCGGATTGCAAGACCTGATAGTGAGAGCAGCTGAGAAGATCATTGGAGCCTCTCTTCCCTCCATAACAGACAGCTATCGCACCCGCTCCATCCGCAAAGCCACCAGCATTGTGGAGGACCCCACACACCCCTCACACACACTCTTCACCCTGCTGCCTTCTGGCAAGAAGTACCAGAGCATCCAGGTGCTCACTGCCCGACTGAGGAACAGTTTCTTCCCCCAAGTCACTCAGTGACACACACAGCTGCATACACATCACTGCCGAGCACTTATCTGCAGTATCACACACACACACACTTTATGTATTTCTGTGTTGATCGTCTGTTATGTCATATGCAGCACCAGGGTCTCAGAGGAACGCTGTCTCGTTTCACTCTGCACTGTCCCACTGCACATGGCTGAAAGGACAATAAAAGCCACTTGACTTGAGTTGACAATTTGTGATTGGATGTGCAGATATAGTAGCAAAAAATAATCTTGGATTGTAGACTAAAGTAAATGTGATCTTGGAAGATATCGAGTTAATGCAGTGCATCATGGGAGGATCTTCAGTGTCCAGGAGCAGAATGAAGCTGTGAACTGGTGCAGTAAGCACAGGACAGCAAACCTCAAAAGAGTCTGCAGTCTACACACAACATGCACAGCCTCTGCTGTTTACTGTCCTGTTATAAATATACAAGGCTGGCCGTGTGTGTGTGTGTGTGTTTGTGTGTGTGTGCTGGCTGCACAGCAGCCGCCTGTTGCAGAATAATTTAAACTGTTTATTTGATTTGGAGGACAGCCTACGCGGGGCTTCCACAATCTGGCTCTCCATCAGGGCTAAAAGCGTCCGAGCTCTGCATCACGCCGTCTATTTTCAGCAGGCCTTCGCTTCCTGCTAATAAAAACAGCACGTCGCTTCAGGAGAACTGTGGCGTCACACGCTGACCGCACACATGCTCGGCAGTATTTCTGGTGTGGAAGCGAGGCCTCTGTGTCACATTGTGAGTGGGTGGGTGTCAGGAGAAGTTTTTACGGACTGAAGGGAAGTGAGGAGGTGATCTGTGTGGGAGCGGGTGACATCTCCAGGGTGGAGGGAGATCTCTGTGACTAGTTCGCTCACAGCCCGAGTGCACACTACAGTATTACTGAGGTGTTAAAGAGTCAGCATGATGGTGGCTCCAGATCCTGTCCACATTATGTTATCAATGATCTGATTACAACTGGAAAACTCTACAAAAGTCACTGCGAAACTCGACTGATGCACTCTGCAAAGGTTTAATGGAAACAGCTGATACAGGACCCACCAAAAAAGCCTAAATGACTACAATTTTTTTTTTTTTTTTTTTTTTTTCCTATTTATTATATTTATCCCCTTCGTATATTTTATTTATATTGTCTCTGTATTTATATATATGTGTGTGTGTATAACTCTGTAACTTCTGTCGGTGCTGTGCTTTTTTGGAAATCGAATTTCCCAGAGGAACCCACCCGAGGGATTAATAAAGTTCTATCTAATCTAATCTAATCTAATCTAATCTAAAAAGGTTCACAAAGTAATGAAAAATGGCCCTAAAAAGACACAAAATAATGCATGTAAAATTAAAATATGGTACAAAATTACCACAAAAGGGTCCACATCAACTCAGAATGAGCACAACAGACCCCCAAAATAAGAAACGTGCAAAATTATGACAAAAAAGATGGAAAGTAACAGAAATAAATTCTCCCAAAGAGCCAGCATCTCATCCAAAACCCCACAACAACATCAAAATAGAAAAACCCACAAAAGATTGTCAGAAATATCTACAGTAATGCAGTAAAGTACAAAGAGACGCCAAAGAAGATCAAATGCTCACAAATAGGTGAAAAACAAAACTCCCCCAAAAAACTACAAAATGCTGCAAATTCCGTGCAAACAGCATCGAAACACAAACACACCAAAAAAATTAAAACGAACACAATATAATTCAAAACAATCTCAAAATTGTGAGAAAAGGTAACAAATGTCTCAAAACTGCCACACAACAAAACACAGTGGCCGTAAAATAATAACACAACCACAGAGAAACTCCCAAATATACAAAATGACCTAAAAACAAACTCCAACAAACACAAAGTGTTTGTTTAGCTTGGCACAAACTGCACGTATGGGCATTTAAGTGAACACACAGCAAACAGCATGCCTGGTGTTTGTGAACTTTACGAATCCTTTTAGAGCATCGAAACATGCAGTTTGGTTTGTGTCAGCTTGTTTTTCAGATTTACAGTCCTGGATGAACCTCTGTAAACTCTCCATTTCAACCCTAAATCTGTAAAACTGTACCTGACATATTTAAAACAGGTACAAATCAGTTGGCTGTGGACTGTGAGCACCCTAACAGGATAACACATCCTGAGGAGGATCGCCCACATCCTGTTTCTCTCTGGTTTGATGTCAGCAGTGAACACAAATCAGCCAAACGAATGCCTTTATCAGGGTGAATTTCCATAAAGTAGGCTGTGTGTGTGTGGGTGGGTGTTTCCCAGCAGAAAGATGCCCAAATGGGCTGCCTACGTCTTTATCATGAAATGCCAAACTCAACTAGTGAGTCACGCTTACAGATGAGTCACTGTTAGAGTTTCAGGACTAAAGTGTGTTTTTTACCCACAAAGATGTTATAATTTCATTAAAGTGTCCTCTTCCGTTTGGAGCAGAGTGACGGACCCCAAACAGCTGAAGAGCTTTATCCCAAAATATGATGAATACAGCTGACACCCTCTCGTGAGTGGGGTTATTATAGAGGTCCAGCGATCCTGCAGTGACAAAAAGGGGACGAGACAGCCGCAAACTCCAAACGGCCAAAGGTGGAGGGAAATGACCGTAAAGACACAAATCAGACAGGAAACACCTTTAAAATCACAAAAAAGACATAGAATGATTAAAAATGACCAGACATGATGCCGTGTGACTACTATTAACATAAAAATACTTCAAATGTCTACAGAAAGGCAAAAATGTCCACAAAGCCCACAATCATGCAAAATGCCTGCAGGGGAACACTAAAGAACTCAGGAAAAATGCAAAAATGATCACAAAAGGGACCAAAAAGTCACAAAAAGGCATAAAGGGACCCCAAAGCACCAAAAACAGACGGAAAATGAACACAAAACAAGCAGAACACAACTTCAAATGACAGAAAAGATGCAAAACAATTACAGAAGCACAAAAAACTACAACATATCACATATAACACCAAAATGTGCAAAAATGACCCAACAAACACAAAATGTTGCAAAATGAGTGAAAAGAGGCACAAATGAACTACAAACCTTATGAAAAATGCACCAAACACTCAATGTAGACACAAAACAACCAGGTTTCAACTTTAATGTGTTCCATAAAAGCTGAAAACGGTGTAGCAGCAACACAGTCCCAGATCCTGATGCTACCACCACCATGCTCGGTGCTGTGTTCTCACCGTCCCTCCCTCAAACATGCCTCTTGTCCTTGTGGCCAAACAGCTCAGTCTTCGTCTTTTTGGCTCATCCATTTGGGCAGCTGTGAATTCCAGCTGAGCTTGAAGGTGTTGATTTTGGTGCCGGGGCTCCTTCCTGTCCATGATGTTGTAAAATGAGCTTCACTGTGGCGGGCTTCAGCCTTGGCTGTTCCAGGTTGTTCCTGGAGATCCTAACCCACTTCCTTCCTTCCAGAGCTCGGTGGTGACACATCTAAAGAACTTAGACTTCGGTACGACTGCGTGATGTGACGATCTCTAAAATCTGCAGCTGTTTAGAAGAAGAGAGAACTTCCCAGCTTGTTGTTCTGAGTATGATTAGCTGTCTCGTTTATCATGTTTCTTTTTCTCTTTTTTGAGGATATGTGGTCCCTTTTGCCATTTCACTATTTTTATTATATTATTGGCCATCTGTCTCTTTGACACTGTGAATATTTAATGTTTGTTAAGTTCATGAAGAAGTGCGTCAGCCTCAAAATGTCTTGGGGGAAGGATGACGCCGGAGCATTTTGCAGTTTTTAAGCTCTGCCTGTATTGGTTTATCTCACGTTTTTGACATGTTTTTGTGTTTTATGTTTACTTCATGCTGCGTCTGCTGCCAAGAACTGATGGAAAATAGCTGATAGCTTAATCGGGTCATGAGATCAATGTTTTTGTGCTGCTCCCTGATAAAGACAGGCTGAAACGAGGCTAATGTGGTTGTAAATGGCGTTTCTGTTGATAATAACCTGAAGGCTGAGGGTTCAAATCCAGCTGGAGCGGTGAATTATTATAAGTATATGACACTTATGTCCACATTAATCACCAGAACGCTGCTTTTTGACATCTTTAATAAACAAGATGTGATAAATGTGAAACTCGAGGCCGTCCGAGTGTAAAGTGCCACATTAATGCTCCCACGGTGAACCGTGGAGTGTTTTCTTTGGAATAAAGCGTTCCAGGAAACGAGGCTTCATCTTTCATCTTTCTATGCTTCAGACAGTTGATGCACTCTATATTTATCCCGATGTTGGCCCGCTGCTGGGTTACTCCTGTCGACTGTTTGTAACTCAGTAATGACTGGGGGCAAAGAGCATTAAGAAGTAAATATTCAGAGGCATGCTGGGTAATGTAGTGCTACTAGATATTCGCTTGACCTTAAGCTCGCGGATAAAGCGACAATGTTCGCAGTGCGCTGACCCTGGAGGAGAGGGACCTAAATACGAAGCTCATTTTGTCCCCGTTTGACTTCAATCTGATTTGGTGTCGTGGACGTCCACGCGAGAGGCCCGACAGACTTCGTTTCCCACAATGCACCAGGTGTGAACCCGTGAAACGCTGCGCGGTGCGGACGTGTTTGACAGTAATTCAAAAATGGGGCAGCGGAGCAGATAAGAGTGACCGCGGCGGAGTGTGACGAAGGCCTCCAGACACCCCGAAGCTCCCCGAGCTTCTCCGACTCCTCCTGCTTTGTGTCCGTTTGCCTCTTTAGCTTGTTTGTGTGCTGCTCGCGGAGCCTCACGCGCTGATCGACAAAAACGGGAATGAATGAGGACAGCAGGCTGTGAAAAAGGTGAGCGCAGGGAAGCAGGTGAGGTCTCACTCTGCTGCCGTTTCCGGACACCGGAAATCATTCCGTCCAAAGAAAAATGCACAAAACCAGACTAACGGCGGTCAACGTGCCACGTGTTGTTGTGGTGATCGCACCGGTGACGTATGCGTTGTGTTTTTGATTTTAGCTTTAAAATCAGCTGTTTGGTGGGATTTCTTTCAGTTCATGTCGGGTTAATGATTATGATCCATGACGTCATGTTTGTGTGAATGCAACACTTTTTCCACTGAAGCTTCAGACACACTTGCAGCACACCTGGACAGGTCACCAGTTTAGAGACACCTCACAGAGAGGCCCCAGCGGGTTCGAGTCCGGGCATCATAATTTAAAATCAAATCACTTGTATTGTCACATCACATGTGCAGGTACACGGGTACAGTACATGCGAGTGAAATTCTTGTGTGCGAGCTTCGCAAGCAACAGAGTTGTGCAAAAATACAAATAACATAAAACACGCAAAAATATAAGAATGGCTAAATCTGAGAGTAATAAATACATGTACAATATAAGAGTGCATGCATTCTAAAACGCACCACGAGATTCATCAAATACACTTGATGCTTTTTTCAGTGGGACCCAAAACAATCATTGTTTTCAGGGTTTTTCCTGAACAGGTGCTAAAATAGTACCTGCTCGCTGGGCTACAAAGCTATCTGAGCAGGTACTGAAATGTGATGTCATCAGACCGCATGCCACCGATTGGCTGCTCAGTGGTGTCACTCGATGAGTCACGAGAGCGTCTCATTCCCGAAAATTAAACTGCCATTTTTGAAACCCAGTAACAAGGGAAACGGCTCCCTGAGTCACCTTGTATGGATTAATTACAGTTAAGATAAGATAAGATAAGACTTTATTGATCCCACACGGGGAAATGTGTGCATTACCTCGACTCAGGTAGAGATAGCAGAAGAAAAATACAAACAAATACAAAATAAATAAGATAATAAACACCGTATGTGATTATGCACAGAGGGTTGTTGAAATATGCAACAAATAAATGGAACTAATTAAAATAATTATCCTAAAAATATGTGACAAATTGTTTCTGAATTGATTTACCTACTCACTTTTATTTGTTTTGGGTTTTTTTGTTAAAATAATCATTTTTTATTAACGTTTTTTTTTTTACTTTGCCGTCCTCTGTATTTGTTTCCTTTTGCAAATTCAAAGTGTTTTCATGAGGTCACATTTTTAAGGTTTTGGTTGATGGACGTCAAAATTGAAAGTAATAATGAAAGGAGCCGAGAAATTATCTAAAACTTAATTTAATAACAAATTAGTTTGTTTATTTGTGAAGTTTGCAATTTTGGCCGCTTCGGTCCTCCGTGGCTTCACACAGCGGAGTTACGTTTGCACTGATGGCGGCGCTGTAAACCGTCGCAGACTCTGTGGGAGGACACCCGAAGGATGAATACCAGCCCTGCTGTTTCTCGTTATTCGGTTTATGATATTTAATTTCGTCGTTTTTGTTTCTGCAGTTTCTTTTTTAGGCTTTGATCTTCGTGAGGGCAGAAACCAGTGAGCCGAGCCCCTGAGGAGTGAGTCCTCTCGCGGTCACACGATCTTCGGCGCTAGCTACACACAGCTACAGCTAACGGGGACCAGCGGACCGAGCGGCGGCTCCTCGCTTCGGTATGATGCCCGGTGACAGCAGTATGGCCTCCCTGGTTCAGAGGATAGCTCGGCAGGCTCTCGTCACCTTCAGGAACACACCCGCGGTGGGCGACGAGGCTTCCAAGTCCTTCCTGGAGAACCACGGCAAGCTCCGGAGCCTGATGTCGGAAGTGCGGGCTGCCGACCTGAAGCTCGTCCCGCGGAGAGCCGAGGACGGCGACGCGCCCCCTGCTCAGCACCCATATCACCGCGGTGCGCCCCCGGTCACCTACATGCACATCTGTGAGACGGACCAGTTCAGCATGGGGGTGTTCCTGCTGAAGAGCGGGGCCTCTATCCCGCTGCACGACCACCCGGGCATGCACGGCGTGCTCAAAGTCATGTACGGGAAGGTCCGGATAAGCTGCTTCGACCGGCTCGAGCGACCGGGCGGGGGCGGGGACGCGCTGCCCCGGGCGGAGATGGGCGCTCTGCGGCGCTACGTGCTTCGCTCCATCGGGGAGTACACGGAGGAGAGTGGACCCTGCGTCCTCTCCCCCGACCGGGACAACCTCCACCAGATTGACGCCGTGGATGGGCCCACAGCTTTCATGGACATCTTAGCCCCGCCGTACGACCCGGACGACGGCAGGGACTGTCACTACTACAAGGTGCTGCCCGGGGACGGGGTCAAAGACTCGGAGCAGACGGAGAAGGAGGTCTGGCTCATGGAGATCTCGCAGCCTCCGGAATTCTGGTGCGGAGGGGAGCCGTACCCGGGCCCGGAGGTGTGCCTCTGATCCCCCCTCCACCCTCCCGGAGCCCTGCAGCCTGGCTGGATCCACAAAGGATCTCCACAGTCATCATCAGAGCCGCCAGCAGGCGCAGAGTAAAGGGCCAAATGTGGGATTAAATTGTGGTAAAAGGTAGAAATGATGCATCAGCCCTGCAGCACACACTCTGGAGCGTGAATTTTATTCACCCCAGCTTCTGCTTCAGTTGGACAAACATCGGAGCCTCAGGCAACAGTAAACGACTTCCTGCCTGTGCTGTGATCCCCGTGGATGTGACGGTCAGGAACCCACATCTGAATCATTCTGTTGATGTGCTGACTTTCAGGAAGTAGTTTTATTTTTAAAAACTGAGGCTCTTTACTCTACAGAGACTGCAGTTAAGCCAGAGTCTGTCCTGAAACCTGACTGAAGCTCATAAACCTCTCCCGGAATTTATATTTACTCTGCTCAGTGACACTAACCTGTATGGAGGACCCCAGCTGCCCAAATCACACACAAATCCATTGTTGAATCGACAGTTTTCTTGTTTCCAGGCTGTCAAAATGGGGGAAAAATAGATGTGCAGGACTGAAACGACCACAGTGAAATCCAGCCAATAAGCCTTAATGCATCAATAAGTTTATTAATAGTCCATGGGCATAGATGAATATTGGATTCATAAAATTTAATTTACTGCTGTATAATAAAATAATTCTCCCATTTCGTTACCTTCCCAGTTATTCGTTTATAAAAGTGTTTAAAATGATTTAAAATTGGTATAGAGTTCTAGGTAATACGCTAATTTGTGATTCGCCATTAAATATGTAGGAATATGAGCATCAGAAAACTCCATGTTGTTTGTATGCATTGCTAACTCTTCAAAGAATGTATAGATAAATAAGGGATTAAAGAGATTCTAGGCCAAAGGTTTGACTATGAAGGAAAACATAAAAAGAAATATAAAAAATAAAGTAAAATAATGCAGAAGCAACTTAGCTGTGAAAGTATTAAATGACCCAATAATACATGTTAGTATTTTAATTATCTATTAATTTATAAATGAGCAGGTGGTGGATAAATAATTTAAATTTAAATATTTATTCTATAAAGTGACAGTTTTTGTTTTCTTATTATTTTGTTAATCATTTTCTTTTCTTTGTTTCCAAATTTTGTTTTTGTAAAATCAAAATGTTTGTGATGTTAACTTTTTGATTTCGGTGGATTGATGCCAAAATAGAAAATGAATTTAAAAAGGACAGAAAGAGGTTAACTGCACAAATTTGTGTTTTTGGCGGCTTCAGTCTTCCATAAAGTGTTGAATCTGAATCTGACCGACAGCTGTTTCGTTACAGTCACATCTGGACTGATTTTCAAAGGTAAAATCAGACCAGGTGTTTTTATTTCACACCTGAAAGTTGATAATGGTGCGTTTGAGAAAAGTCTGGAATTTTCTGCTTTCATTTTGACTGAATTTTTCAATAATACTAACAATAACAATAATAATTGGGATGTTTTAATACACGTCAGTACTTCATGTCCTTCAGTCGGAGGACCTCACTGGTAGTGAGTGACTTGCGGTGTTTATTCAAAAGAAGGTTTCAGGTACAGGAACAACTACAGAGGACTGTAACTGCTGAAATAATTACTTATTAGGAACAAAACCATATTGGAAACAAATGCAAGCATTAATTACACTTTTATGAACTTAATTATGTTCACTTTGGTTTTCTTTATTAACCAACTTTAAATATTTTCCTTTCCTCTTGTCACTTGATTTATTTCCCCAAATATCTTTTATTTTTACTTTATTTTTTTTTTCTACTGTTCTGCTTCAGCTAAACCATCTGAAACATACAAATAATAAAACTGTAAAACTGCCTAAATCACAAATGAACATATCAGTGGTAAACATTTATACTTTTGCCCAAAGCAGAAATAAAATGAAAAATGAATTAGGGGGTAATGTACTTTAAAATAAATAAGTACTGCTAATTGAAATAAATACAGTAATAAATAGAAATCAGTTCATTTATGTCCATGTAGCATTAATATTCACTTTGATGGCTTTATTAGCAAATGTATAATACCATAATGTAATTTATATTTTTGGCTTCTCTGGTTCTCCGTACACGTGTACCCAGCCGCTACCATGTATTACTCTCCGCATGAGGGGAAGCAAAAACGTCCCAGGCTCCTGGCTGCTCCTTGAAAGCAGCACTGAAGGACCACTGCAGGACCCTGCTGATGTCTCTTTACTCGTCTTCCTGCTTCAGGCTTTGTGACGTCAGAGCTTCGGGTCTCTTTTGAAGACTGAAATCTCGTAAAGCTGCAGATTTTCTCGTGTTAGGACTCTTTACGCCGTCGCCGCCTTTTCTTCTTCTTCTCCTTTCTGAGAGACTCCTCAGGACTGTGTTCATGTTTGTATCTCCGATTGAAAGATGTGCACTAAATCGAGTTTATCAGCACAAAGTGTCTTTAAGAGAAATGTCAGAAAATGTCCATGTGATTACAAAATAAAGAGAAAAGAAATCTGTTCATCCTTAAGTTTGATTAGCGCCGGAATTTATTTGTAATTAATTTTTATTTAATTGTTATTCATATAACTTCCTTATTGTGTTATGATTTTGGCACTTAGAGTCCTCCATACCACTGATAATATCATGTAAATACAGTATGTAATACATTTATGCATAAATGAGAAAATAACTTGAAAGATCAAATGAGAACATTTTAGAAATTTGGATTTGATTCCCACACAAATGCAAGAAACACGAGAGCAAATAAAAGCAGAGATTTGTCTGTTTCAAAGTTAAATGAACCACCAGGGGGCGGTGTTCCCCCGCTGTGGTTGTTGATGGGTGTTTTATAGCATCTTTGTCCTCACACAGGAAATGTGCTCTTACTATCTCTCTTGGTTAAATAAAGGTAACCCTGCGTCGCTGCACCATCTGGAGGTAGAAACTGGTATTACATGGATGTGCAGCCTGGCCATATTTCAGCTTTAGTTGATATTTTTTGGACACAATAAACAGATGATTTGAACATAAAGTTGCGGGTGTATCCTCACAGTCCGCTCCTAGCTTTAGTAAATTTTGGAATAGGTACCTTTCATGCCCACATAGCAATTTAGTGACAGACCATTTACTGATTCACGTTTTTGTCCATATATTTTTGATTTTGACAGCGTCAGTTCTCCATATATGAGGAAGCTGGGGCAGAATCTGTCATATACACCTGAACCAATGTTCCCTCTAATTTTCCATGTGTCTGAGCGAACACACAAACTCCCTGAGCGTCCCTTGGTCCACTGTGAGCGACAGCAGACGTGTGCACTTTGGTCACGCCAGTGTCGAATCCATCCAAGTTACATGGTTTACTAAAATAATCAAATTACAGCATTTACATTTATGTTAGACGACTTTTAATTAACTGCTTTAGCCCACTTACAATGAAAATGTAAACAAATCTTAAAAAATAACCTGAACTCCAATAAAGCTCTGACTTGTATGATGAGTCTGAGTCTGGGAGAGAGTCTGTAACTCTCTGTCTGCAAAATACAGTAAATAATGACCAATGTTGGGAAATTAATTATATAGTTACTTCTTCAAAAAAGTAACTGAGTTATGCAAACAAAGTTTTTTGCAGCTGTTTACCTAAAAATGCAGCCAAAGCGTTTTTTTAAACAAACATTTCAAACTATTTACAGAACAATCAGCTGTTCTGCATCAAATCTGATGCCACACAAATTATTTGTGCCGCTGCAAAAAATAATTTCTGTCCACTATGAGATGAAGGAGAACATCAGCCTGATACCTGCAGGCCTGACAGCAGCAGATGTGTCACTGCTGTAACACCTGTAACACTCAGCAGTCGCCTCATTGTTCTGACACACACAACAAAACTACTGACTACACTACACACTAACTACACACTAACTACACACTAACTACACACTCACTACACAAGATTTGTGCTGAACGTCACAAATCTCTCACATCTCAAACACGCCGTCACTCCTAAAACTTCCCCCTCCCTAAACAACTAAATGCCATGTTGCCATATCATGTTTTGATTGGTCCACATGGTACATTTTTCCACCAATAGGAAAGGCTGGAGGGGGGCTGTGTTTGTTCACAGGCGGAGTGATTTCGAGCGTTTTCCTTATAAAACGCCGTTTTTACCGTTTCTTCCTGCAGTAAATATAAACAACGACAGTATTCAGGAAGAAAACCAAACACTGCAGATATTTTATCATAACTCTGGTTTTACGTGGCCGATCAACACAATTTAAAAACTGGTATAAAGTCCACACTGTTCCCGTCAGTTGTTCCGTCTGTCCTGCTCACATCTCCAATGGTTGTACACGTTGTCATTAACGTGGCTTCACTCCGCATCAACACCGGTGTCGGCACATAAGGACGCTGTCACAGCCTGTCAACCACGTGGATTAGCTGCGTATAGAATGTGAATCCCATCATTGGCTGGACTGTGGGATAAGGTGGCATCGTTCTGATCCCATACTGGAGCAGCCAGTCACTGACTAACACTGCAGAACAGAAATGTTAACGTATTTATTTTCATTTCAATTCAGGTTAGATTTTTTTTGTGCGCAACACAGATTTTCTGTGCGCAGAGACCGTGCCAGCAGTGCGCAATTGCGCACCCGCGCAGCTTAGAGGGAACATTGCACCTGAAGGCGACCGTTTTATGCTTTTCCTTGTTTCTCGAGGCCTGAGTGTGAGACAAAGTTGGATTAGTCTGAAGTAAGAATCGTGCAAAGCTAACCTGTGTGTACTTTCATTGAAAAGAAAAAAGAGGCAGCAGCGACTGAACAGTTCCACGTTTATTTGCATTGACAAGAAGCATCAATTCTTCAGAATAAAAGCTTTAGTGCTTTCTCTCGTTTGCATAAAATAGTAAAACACACAAAAACAAACTTTTACTTTTTGCCCACTTACTCTGTGTCTCTTTGTCTCACATTGACTGGCAAGAAATCCAAACACAAAAACAGGAAATAACAGATTATCAGGCTACAATCAATACATCCCATTCACAGCGTACCCCAGCCTCAAGCTGTGACATCACCGTATCCCCTCAGTGTGCTCTGATGCTGCATCACACATATACACCTACATACTGCATTAGTTCACGTGACGCCGTGGCTGCCATGCTGCTCCAAATACATGCGTGTGTGTGGAAACACAGGGCTGATCTCTCGCTGACCTTTCAGCCGATGTTCGGTGTGCTATATGTGCTATGGGACACTTATTTAGGTCAGTTAAATAGTTTTTTTTAACCAAAACATTTGTCTCGTATCTCAGAAGGTTAAAAATATAAAATAAAGATGGCTGACTCAAGTGAGCAAAAGCAGCAAATTTTAGAGGTTTATGTGAAAAAGCCCGGAAAAACAGGAGCTTTTATTTTGGAAACCTGCTATGATAAATACACTTGACTAACTTCACACAATCTGAGGTCTTTCTGAGCATCATGAAAGCTTTCTAACAAATTATATTGTTTTATTTTGAAAATCTAGCAAAATAGACAAGTTCCAGTAACTGAATAGATGATTTTTTTTAACTAAAAAACAAAAACAAAAAAAACAACAACCGTCATCTTAAATAATCTCAATGAATTCCCAACTAACTAGAGGATTAAATGTAGAAAATGTGGTAACTTCCAATAACTAATGGAGGCTTTTATTTTGAAATAAGCGAACGTAACTTGTTTCACACAATCAAAAAAAGGTCTCTTATTTTGACATTCTCACAGAAATAAATTACCTTGATAACGTCTAGACAACTAATTAAAGGCTTTTATCTTGAAAAATCATTTAAAATTATTTTAGTCCTGATCCCCCCTCCCCAAAAAAGGATTTTTACTTTGAAAATATTGAAATAATTTAAGTAGTTTCAGGCTGTTTAACACAATAACATGATCAGCTTCTCTCTGATGTATTTGAATAAAATGTTATTTTTGTTTATCCTAACTTCACGCCAGTCATTTTACTCATTTACGACTATAAAATGTCATAAAACAACCTTCTGTCTGTGGCCTGTTGTTTCCTGTCGCCCAACAAAGCAGCGCAAAATGAGTTTATTTCATACAGAAACGTCAGAAGCCAAACGCAGACCCCCTGAGCCACGGCATCCACGTGTCTCACTCTGACGTTCATTGGTTTCTCCTAAAAACTGTAAAGTGTTGGACTTTCATTCTTTTCAAATATGGTGCAGAGGAACGTTTGAGTGCCAACAGTCTGAAGACACTCAGCCTTGAACTTGGACTGAAGGTTGTTAAAGGATTTTTCTTACAAATATAGAAAAGGCTGGTGTCGCGTTATCCGAGAGAATTTCACTAACGGTTCCTCACAGTCCTCCTCCGGAAGTCATATGTGATGCCTCCGTGACTCTCTGCGTTTATACGGAGTGTTTTTGTGCATTTAACTCCAAATGAAAGCTGGAGCAGCAGTAACCCTCTCACCTGACTCACCTGTCGCACCTGTGCTGCCCGGCACGTGACTGAATCCCTGAGAGCTTGAAGCATAGACAGCAGACAAAGTGTTCACTAAAAGCAGGTTGTGAGATGTTGTTCTTGGAGGTTAATTTAATCCTAGCACGGCCAGCTCCGCTCGTGTGGCTTTTGTAGTCATAGTAACACACCTGGGGACCGGGTTTCTGGCTCTCCCTGATTTCTTCTTCATGATATGGCTTCTAAAGAGACTTGCGGCTATTTCTGAGGTTAACTTAGACTACGGGGTACCGTTTGGGCTCGGAGGGCTCGGATTAGGACGCGGGGGTCTTCTTCTCCTTCTGCCGCAGGTGAATCTTCATGTGCCGCCTCCTCTCATCGCTGCGTGCGAACTTCCTCCCACACTGGTCGCAGGTGAACGGCTTCTCTCCGGTGTGCGTGCGGATGTGCGTGGTCAGGTGGTCGCTCCGGCTGAAGTTGCGCATGCAGATGCGGCACTGGAACGGCTTGTGGCCAGTGTGGATGCGCAGGTGCCGGCTCAGCTCGTCCGACCGGGAGAACCGGCGGTCGCAGCTCTCCGCCGGGCACGGATACGGTCTCTGGTGCACGGGGGTCTTGCTCGGGCGATTCGGGTACTTCCGGGGTCTTAAGATGGGCCTGAGGGGGAGGTTCTGGTGGCCGGGGAAGGGGGCGGCCGCCGGGCCTTCGGGCGCGCTGAGCGTAAAGTTCCTGATGGTGTTGAGAGGCGTGAGCGGCGGAGGCACCCGCAACGAGTCCAGCGGGTACGGAAGGGCCTTCCTCTCCGGGAAGCCGGCGTGCATGTCCCTCTGGCAGCTCTGCGGGTAGAAGCCTCCGTACTCCGGCACGATGGAGAGCAGCGCGCCATCAGCGGCCGGTTTGGGCGCAGAGCTGTAGGCGGGAGGCGGGTGGTAGGACACCGCGCAGGTGGAGGTGGACAGGTAACCCTGGTCCTGGTACACGTCCCCGCTGCAGGAGTAGGACTGGGGCGGGTGGGGGTGTGAGTGTGGGTGGGGGGGCGCGTACATGTGGCTGATATCCGGCTGGCCGTGCGCCATGTT